ATAGGAAATCAACTAATGAGTCAGCTTGTGCACAAGTTTATTCCAGGGGTAGCCATATCAGACCTGTACACCTTGTCATACACTCCAATCCCTGTGCTAGCACAGACGCTCTGTAGTATAGGTGATTACATGGGATCCCCAGACCCCCTTTGTTAATGGCATCCAGCTCAGATTTGCTCTGATCCTAGCTGGTTTTCTTTTTACAGATGTGTGCGATCAGTGTAGCCTGCATGCGTTTGAGTAGGCTATTCAGGAGTGCTATAAGTAAGGTGCGGAATAACTAGGGTATGTGTGGGAGTGCTATCAGCTTTATAATGTTAACCCTACCAAGCCAGGAGACTTCTATGTCTTTCCATTGGTCAAGAATATTACGTAGTTTTTGTATAATGCCTTCGTGGTTATGTTGTAGGAGGGTTTGTCTGCTTTTTGTCAGTTTAATTTCCAAGTAGGAGATTGACTGATTTTGCCAGTCAAATGAGTATGACCATTTTAGGAGCTGAATGGAGGTTTTAGGTACATTGGTACTTGTGGCGCTTGTGTTTTGCAGGTCTTGTTTTTATAATAGGGTTTTTCCCCATATAAGGACAGTGTTTCCTTAAGGGGAGGATAGATGTGTCCGGCGAGGTTAAAAAGAGCAGGACGTGATCCACAAATAGTGCCAGTTTCTTTTACCCAGCAGGGGTCATCAGACCTTGTATTGTAGATGTCTGTTTGATTTTGCGTATGAGAGGTTCCAGGCACATGATAAACATTAATTGGGAGAGAGGTCACGCCTGACGTATGCCATTTGTTATAGGGAATGGTGATGACAGAAAGCCAAAGTTGAATACTTTGGCAGAGGGTGCGGTATATAGGGCCATTATACTCTTGATAAATATAAGGGAGAGACCAAGTTTGCCTAGTGTCATAGACCTACATTGGCAATTTAAGCGGTCAAACGTGTTTTCAGTATCGAGAGCTAATATAATACCACTCTGGAAACTATGTTTGGCCCAATCAATCAAATCTAGGAAGTATCTCATGTTGACACCTACTTGTCTATGTGGTACAAATTCAGCCGGTTCATCTGAGATTAGTGTGCAGCATGGGTTTGAGTCTTGATGCTATCAATTTTGCATATAATTTGATGTGTGCATTTAAAAGGGAAATCGGCCGCAAGTTTGCCCCAGAGGTAGGTGGTTTGTTAGGTTTAGGCAACGTTATGATGTATAAGACAAGAGGACACCAGCCACTAAAAGCACCTATAAAGGCAAACCTACTAAACAGTGTGCCCTCTAAAACAAAAAATGTGAAACATGTAGGTAAGTAGGAATGCACAAAAATGGAATGATGATTCTTAAAGTGCAAATAAAATTAGAATCCAACCTTTCAGTATAACCGCATATTTAGCAGTATCTATAAGCAATAAATGAACCGCACATAGTGTGATAAAAGTGTGTATATATAGAGACACGCAAGGAAAATGAGGAAAACTTACAAGATGTAAGTGGATATTAGGCACATCATCCCAATTTGAAGAAAAGCTTCAGAGCCATAAGGAAGGAGATCTTCTTTAGCACTTAATGATGAAAAGAGAACCAGATAATAGTGCAGATGTCACTTAGTACAAAAAAGAATTTATTACAATTGCACGTACAAAAATCCAGTTAAAAACAGCATATATCCACTAGCAAGTGGAACACAGGTATACAGCACTGTAAGTCCCAAACTGTCAATCTGATGCGTTTCGTCCGCAGGACTTCGTCGGGGATGCGGTAAAATAGTTCCTTAGTTTCTTATTTAAATATGCCGCCAGAATAAGCAAATGGAGTACACCTGTCTTCTGCTATGCGTCGCGTGCGTGTCACGTTGGAACGCATCCGGTCTCCTGGCGTCATTTCCGGTTCCGGTTACACTCATTTCCTCCGTGCGTTCCAAGCTGGATCTGTGAGCCTTGTTTGCTTGGAAGGAGCCATAATTGTGAGCTGTGTGGTATTGGCGATCGGTTGATCTGCGTTGTCTCACAAAGGGCGTCAAGGATCTGCGGAATTGTAGCGAGTGGCTCCTGTATCGCTCGGAGCCCTTACTCCAGGCGACAGCTCATGCCGGAAGTTGTCTCCGCCCTTGACCTTGATGATTTTTAACTGTTTAAATAAAGGTTAAATTTGATCATTTCTGATAATTAACTACAATGAAATCCAACCTATTTTCTATCTCTGCTAACTGCATTTGAATTTATGTTAAATACTGACGCAATCTTTAGACCAAAAGTCAGTCATATGATAAACAAAAAAGTGCTTGACACTGGAAATAAATATGTAGCCTTTATTTGTGGTAGAATAGGATTTAATAAGATCATGTTTTTTTTTTAATTCTTTATTTTTGTCGTGCAAGAATTTACAACAGTGTCTGTGTAGCCACAACAGCTGTAACAGACGCAGTCAAATATAACATATTAAAACATTTTTGTGGCGTAAGTTAACTCAGCACGTTTTTGTAATTTAGTGAACAGGATTAGGTCAAAGAGTATGTAAGGCATTCAATTAAACATTGCTAGTGTGTCTTCGAGTTAGGTGTAAGGACTGGTCTAGTGAAGGAGGTATGCCTACATTGCCATGTCAAAGATAGGTCTGGCTACCGAAAGGCCTATGTGGCGCAGCGATTAGCAGCATCATATTGGGCTAACCCTTACGGTTAATCTGCTTTGTGAACACATTTTTGTCATGCTTATTTTGTAAGTTTTCATCACATTAATATCTGTCACGGTACCCTCCAGCATACACCAAACCCTATGTACTTATTCACGTTGGGTCAAGTCGCTTATGTTAAGTAGGGTCATCGCACATTTTGCAGCATTATATTAGGAATTCACTTTGTGTCCTAAACTGAGTGCGAAATGTGTAAGATTATAGCGAAAACAGACATATGTATAGATGCTTTTAAGTGATAGTATCTTAGCTAGGGTAAAGATAAATCAATCTAGGAAATCTCAGGTCGTCATTGGCAGCTTAAGGAGTCCCAAAGTAGTGACCTTTCTGGTTACCCGGTTTCAGTCCAGCATGGGTGGGAGTCCAGTAGTCAGGGTTTCATCCGATACCCGTTGTTGGTCTGCTCAGTGAGCCAGCATATAGCCTGGTGGGTTTGTTTAATCGATACCCAATGCTGGCAGTGTGCTTGCTCTGAAGGTTGTCGCACAGGTTAAGCGTGGATGCAGCTGCAGCTACTGTAGTGTCCTCCAGGAGGGATAGGGTAGGCCTCAGGTGCTTTCCTCAGGCACAAAGGGGTTTTTCCACCAAATACATATGCTGCTTGTGGCCTGGGACCTCTAGGGTGTATTGATTGGCAGATCTGCTGCATTTGTTGGTGGTTGTCTGCTCCTCCATCCCCCTGACGCTTGGTGTCTGCTTCTGGTCGGGCTCTCGAGGTTTCAACTTTGGGGGGGGCTCCCCACTCCCCGCCCAGCCGTGGAACCAGGCTTGATCCGTGAGTGGGTAAGCAGGGGCTTTTTAGAGGGTCCGACTCTTATCTGCAGGTTCGGGCTCCGTGGCCCATGTATGCTGCTTGTGGGCAAAGCTGTTTTTAGGTGGGTGAAGATGCTGTTCTCAGCTTCAGTCGCGTCGCCGCCATTTTGACGCCCAGGCATAGCATGTGGGGTGCTAGGTGTGCTCGGTGGGTCACTTAGGCGGTGGTTCCCTCCAGTGAGGACTGGGATATCCCCCCCGGTCCATGGGGGGGGAAGCAGGGGCCCGTGATACACATCATTGGGCTATTGCGCGGCAGCCAGGTTCCAAAGCAGGACGGCGGCCGTCCGCCCCGCTCTCCACCCACATAGGCCGCAGACCCCGAAGTCTCACATCTCCCCCTGGGGCTGCAAAACTCCCGATCTCGGGGACCACAGTGGCACCGGCAACCACCCGGACATGAGAGGTGGTCTCTTGGCTCTGAGTCAGGCTTTAAGCTTGGATTTTTCCTCCAAATTAGGCCAGATCCTGCAGGAGCCTCTCCAGCCTGCGACCGGTCAGCATGGCGGTCGGGCCCCGCCCCCCCTAAGATCATGTTTTTGCACAATTTATTCCTGCTGTCTGTGTTTTTTGATTGCTGGAATTGTTGCACGTTATGCACCATATACAAACTTGCCTATCATATATATTTGATACAATATGAGCCCTTTTGATCATGTGATCTGATTGAATAAATACCTATTAACCCCAGGAGGGGCATGTTTAAACATACACGATTAAGGCATGGTATTCGATTTTATCTTGATACTGCAATAAAGCCCAACTTATACTAAGACCGTTTAAATGTCTTTGTTCCTTGTATCTGTACTATATACAGAGTGAATCTCAGAGAGCCCTGACTAGTGCACTTTCTACAATGTCACCGTTTGTATTCTACCAGCAATCTGCTTGCTTGTTCGAACCACTGGTCTCAAATATCACTTCCTGGGTTTCGTGCCAGGGTCCTCTGCTTCAGTAGTCAGCATCTCCCTCTAAATGTACCAGGCAAGCACCATGCTGGGACTTCCTCATTTACTAACACATTTGGTGTAGTTAACCCTTTTACAAAGCAGTAACTATAATGGTTTACCATTGAATACAACGAATGTTTATAAGAAAATACTGCATATATATTGCTTGCAAGCCTGGGATGAGAATTCAAATACAAGTCACTTGCTGATGTTGAGAGAACGGATTTCCAAATCCAAGCAGATTTTTTTCTTTCCCTTTGATGAATATTATAGAGATATCAAAGTATTTCCATATATTTTTCTTGTCTTTTAAAAATCCACACGAACTGATGGGATATGTGAATTGGCTTCTTAACTTTAATGAACACATTATGGTACATTGTAATGTATTGCCAAAACTAATCTCATGTTTTAAAAGACAATTTTCTAAACGTTGCAAAGGATTTGTTGAGATTAAGGGATTGAAGAACATTATAAACTGAAGTCGATATTTATTAAGGGTTTTACTAGACAAACCAGATTTATCCCCCATATTACAAAATGCATGATACAATGTTATTAACAAAGCGTTACAAAGTAATTGTAATAAAATATGACCGACTGGACCATGCACTTTGGCTGAACCCAGATTACTATGTAACAAACTCTAGCAGATGTGATCCCGGTGGGCCGAGCCTCGGATATTCAGACCTTACACTTTACATCTTTGGCTAAAAAATACATGAATATCAGTTTTGAAGCAGAGAAACAACTGTGTTGTTGATACACTGAAATAAAATTTGTAGAGAATTCCAAACTGAATTACAAAATGTAAAGGGACACTGTAGGCACTATAACCATATTATCTAATTGATGTGCTTATAGTACCTGGGGTCCCTTGGTACTTGGTACAGAGATATTCACTAATGAGAACTGACAGTAATGCAAAGTGAATTCAAATATATAACCATGGCTCCAATACATCACCCCAATCATAGTGTTAATATATAACCATGGCTCCAATACATCACCCAAACTAGTCCTAATATATAACCATGGCTCCAATACATCACCCCAACCATAGTTCTAATATATAACCATGGCTCCAATACATCACCCAAACTAGTCCTAATATATAACCATGGCTCTAATACATTGCCCCAACCATAGTCCTAATATATAACTATGGCTCCAATACATCACCCCAACCATAGTCCTAATATATAACCATGGCTCCAATACATAACCCCAACCATAGTCCTAATATATAACCATGGCTCCAATACATCACCCCAACCATAGTCCTAATATATAACCATGGCTCCAATACATCACTGTAACCATAGCCCTAATATATAACCATGGCTCCAATACATAACCCCAACCATAGTCCTAATATATAACCATGGCTCCAATACATTGCCCCAACCATAGTCCTAATATATAACCATGGCTCCAATACATAACCCCAAGCATAGTCGTAATATATAACCATGGCTCCAATACATAACCCCAACCATAGTCCTAATATATAACCATGGCTCCAATACATCACCCCAACCATAGTCCTAATATATAACCATGGCTCCAATACATCACTGTAACCATAGTCCTAACCATGGCTCCAATACATAACCCCAACCATAGTCCTAATATATAACCATGGCTCCAATACATCACCCCAACCATAGTCCTAATATATAACCATGACTCCAATACATCACCCCAACCATAGTCCTAATATATAACCATGACTCCAATACATCACCCCAACCATAGTCCTAATATATAACCATGGCTCCAATACATCGCCCCAACCATAGTCCTAATATATAACCATGGCTCCAATACATCACCCCTCCACTACATCAGACCAACCATAGTCCTAATATATAACCATGGCTCCAATACATAACCCCAACCATAGTCCTAATATATAATCATGGCTCCAATACATAACCCCAACCATAGTCCTAATATATAACCATGGCTCCACTACATCAGACCAACCATAGTCCTAATATATAACCATGGCTCCAATACATCGCCCCAACCATAGTCCTAATATATAACCATGGCTCCAATACATAACCCCAACCATAGTCCTAATATATAACCATGGCTCCAATACATAACCCCAACCATAGTCCTAATATATAACCATGGCTCCAATACATAACCCCCAACCATATAGTCCCAATATATAACCACATGGCCCAAATACATCCCAACCATAGTCCTAATATATGTAACCATGGCTCTAATACATCACCCCACAACTATAGTCCTAATATATAAACTACAGTAGCTCCACATATAACCCCAACCATATAGTCCCTAGTAATATATATAACCACATGGCCCAAATGCACATCAGACCAAATCCATATAGTCCTGCAATATAAGCAACCATGGCTCCAATAGCAACCTCCAACCATATGTCCTAATATATAACCACATGGCTCCAATACATCACCCCAAACTATAGTCCTAATATAAAACTGTTACTATCTTCCAATACATCAGTCCCAAACCATGTCCCAAGTGGGGTTATATAAACCATGGCTCCAAACTAGTCCTAATATGAAATCCAAGGCCCGGCCACATCAGACCAACCATAGTCCTAATATATAACCATGGCTCCAATACATCGCCCCAACCATAGTTCTAATATATAACCATGGCTCCACTACATCAGACCAACCATAGTCCTAATATATAACCATGGCTCCAATACATCGCCCCAACCATAGTCCTAATATATAACCATGGCTCCAATACATAACCCCAACCATAGTCCTAATATATAACCATGGCTCCACTACATCAGACCAACCATAGTCCTAATATATAACCATGGCTCCAATACATCACCCCAACCATAGTCCTAATATATAACCATGGCTCCAATACATAACCCCAACCATAGTCCTAATATATAACCATGGCTCCAATACATCGCCCAAACTAGTCCTAATATATAACCATGACTCCACTACATCACCCCAACCATAGTCCTAATATATAACTATGGCTCCACTACATTACCCCAACCATAGTCCTAATAAATAACCATGGCTCCACTACATTACCCCAACCATAGTCCTAATATATAACCATGTCCCCAATTCATCACCCCAACCATAGTTCTAATATATAACCATGGCTCCACTACATTACCCCAACCATAGTCCTAATATATAACCATGGCTCCAATACATCACCCAAACTAGTCCTAATATATAACCATGGCTCCAATACATCACCCCAACCATAGTCTTAATATATAACCATGGCTCCACTACATCACCCCAACCATAGTCCTAATATATAACCATGGCTCCAATACATCACCCAAACTAGTCCTAATATATAACCATGGCTCCAATACATAACCCCAACCATAGTCCTAATATATAACCATGGCTCCAATACATCACCCCAACCATAGTCCTAATATATAACCATGGCTCCACTACATCAGACCAACCATAGTCCTAATATATAACCATAGCTCTAATACATCACCCCAACCATAGTCCTAATAAATAACCATGGCTCCACTACATTACCCCAACCATAGTCCTAATATATAACCATGGCTCCACTACATCACCCAAACTAGTCCTAACATATAACCATGGCTCCAATACACATCACCCCAACCATAGTCCTAATATATAACCATGGCTCCAATACATCACCCCAACCATAGTCCTAATATATAACCATGGGTCCAATACATTATCCCAACCATAGTCCTAATATATAACCATGGCTCTAATACATAAGCTTGTGTCAGTGAGCTTGTGTGTGCCAATGAGTTTGTGTACGTGTCACTGAGTTTGTCTGTATTGAGCTATGTGTGTGTCAGTGATCTTGACTGTAATGAGCTTATGTGTGTCAGTGAACTTGTCTGTAGTGAGTGCATGTGTGTCAGTGAGTGTGTGTGTGTGTCACTGAGCTTGCCTCAAGTCACTTGTGGGTGCCAGTGAGCTAGTCTCTAGTGAGCTTGTGTGTGTGTGTGTGTGTGTGTGTGTTAGTGAGCATGTGTGGGTTTAACTTAGCTTGTCTGTTAGTGAGCTTTTGTGGTTGTCACTGAGTTTGTCTGTAGTGAGCTTGTGGGTGTCAGTGAGCCTGCCTGTAGTGAGCTTGTGTATGTGTGTCACTCAGTTTGTCTGTTGTGAGCTTGTGGG